ATGATGATGATGATGATGATGATGATGATGATGATGATGATGATGATGATGATGATGATGATGATGATGATGATGATGATGATGATATTATAAACAATAAATAATGTGTGTAATACATAGGTGTGTGTGTGTGTGCGAGCTCTTCGTAAAGCCTGTGTCATTTTTAATGTGCGGACATGCACACAATAACCATTGAATAAAATGGGCTAGAACCAAGGACTACTATACTCAGTATAGTAGTCCTTGGCTATAACCCAATTAGACAGTTTGGCCTCAGGCTTCATTCTGAAAATTCGAATAGTATATAAATCAGTATTGTATGGGTTTTTTAAATTACATTGGCGTTCATTGTTTAGATCATTTTTATTTCTTTGGGGGTAAGGCGAATGATTTGCCATTACACTCTTAATTTTCTCAAAAAGAAATGAGTGGGGCTCTCGAGGTCTTGAGATTACGGTGTTCGCCTCTCATTCAATAGGTCCCGGGTTCGAATCCGGACAGCGACGGAATTTTTTTTCTCTAAAATTTGTTCCTTTCATTTCCTTTCCTGCTCTCTAACAATATTCTGTCGACTGTTACTGTTGTCTTTCAGCCACACCCCTGATCTAACACCTAGCCTTCTCAGTCAAGGGCGAAAAATCTCGGAAGTCCTGTGTGCAAGTTGTGCACGCCAAAGATCCCTTGGCGGTAGAAAAATTAATAAGAGTAGGTTTCGGCCGCCACCTGGGCAAAATTCAAAATTTTCACAAATTAAAAACGTTTAATGTGTCCCCCGCGCCCATTATGACCTTATTCAGTTGCAAGCGCCGTGAAACACTTACCAAAAAAAAAAAAATGAGTCTCGAATTTTAAAAGGGAAGAATTTTCCGTCTAAACCAGATTTTTTTTCTAAAATAGCGAGAGCGTTCCAGTAAGGGCTATGCAAGACTATAAATCAACACTTAATCTTGTTCACAGTCAGATACGCGAGTTGCGAAACAATAGACGAAAGAAAAACAATTTTACTTGAAACGCTAAACACTTGTGTTTGAGACCCAGTAAACAAATTCATTTAGCGATACTAATAAGATAAGCTTACCTGGTGAGTTGTGTGTCTATCCGCTGTTTGTTCCACTACATTTAAAGCACTTGAAAGTAAATAATTATTTAATGTTGTCACCGATTAAGCTCTCTTTGCCAGGTTCATCGCCCCACTCCAATGAAACTGCCATCCAGAGCAGACTCTGATTCGTTCTCTGATCACGAATCAAGAATTGAAGCCATGAAACTTACGTGACAGCGCACAGATCAATACAGCCATCAGACATTACATTATCATTAACGTAAATGGCTCAGAGTTCAACAACATCACTTTCGATACGGGAAATAATAATATGTTTTTTGTTCTAAACGAATGGGAACATTTTGTGTTAACTCCTGTCCACGCAATCGGAACAGCTTTGAAAGTTCCGATAGTTAAAGTATACCGGATGTTTGATGGACACCGGGAAGGGTGGAATGGGCGAGGGGAGGGGGAGGGGGAGAGGTTGAAATCAGACATCCTGCCTTTGAAAGTGGAAGGTTATTTCAGCCTGTAGTGCCTGTTACTTTATGTTTGAGTATGCTATCTATTCGATGCAAATGAAAGGAGAGCATTTAGCCTATTGGCTGAATATAGTAAACAAAGCCCACATGGAAAAGGAAAATGTAAAGGAGTAGTTAAGCATAACATTTAACCTCTCCATTTCTCGGGTTCTAGTCTTGTCTTTACAAAGGTTATTCTTTCTGCTCATAAACACGTTTAGTTTTTTTCGTAATTGATTTCTTTAATTCATTGGGGGTGGGGATGCTAGTTTATTTTTAAAAATTATTTTTATTT